CCCCAAAACCCCAAAACCCCAAAACCCCTTTTGATGCCTAAATTATTGCTAAATAAATTTATAACTTTTTAATGTGGTTTCTGTTAATTTTCTTGGAATGTGTGAACCTCGGGATTTTTGAATGTATCTCCCTAACCGACTCAGACCTCCTGCTCTTAATCATGTTTTTATCGAATACAAATACGTTCTGGAGGTTGCCCTCGTTTGGTTTGAATTCTGGCTTCGGAGTTTTCATATTCATCCTTCTATTAGATGCAGAGCTCTTTGATTTCTCTACTAAGAATGTATTTATTTTGTACTGAGAGATTCCTTTGTTTGAAAATTGAGATTTCAGGTTTTGATTCTTGTCCAAAATTTTATTCACTATAAGTTAAAGTGGTAAAGAGGTACATTGATTATTTTCAACAATAGAAGTCGATTTTCCTCGCTTGAGGGATAGCAAATTTGGGGTTGCCAAGCTCATTCTTTGAGAATGAAGGTTCTTTTCATTGTTTATAAAATTTGGCACCGATTTATTTAGAATTAGTTTCTAGTGTAACACCAAGTTTATCCATAGAGCTTCTTTCAGAGAATTCATTATTATCCCTCCTAATAATAGAAGTCATTGAAGAATCAGAAATCATTTTCTTCTGATTATAGTCAAGATTCTGTAAGTATAGTAGCTTATTAATTTTATTTAGCTTTCTTCAGCTCAGCTTCAAAGAAGTCTCTATCTTGTTTAATCTCATCACACTTGTTCTTCATCTCTTTATACTTAAGTTTATACTCATTACATAACTTGTCAAGCTTGAATGCTTCGGTCTTGTAGAAATTCCTTTGTTCGGTTAGAGTCTTCATCCTTTGTTCTTCCTTTATTTTGAGCCAATCTTGGGTGCATTTCTCACGGAGTTCCCTGACCATCGCTTTGATCTCCTTCATTCTGCGCTTGAAAGCGATGCAGAAGTCCTCTTCATTGACACGAATGGCTCCTGAAATCTTGCCTTCCATATTCCTGATGAACTCTTGGAGCTATAAAGATCAGAATTCTGCGAAATGTTCATTGCAAAAGGATTAATGTTGAAACTTACTTTTTCATAAGTCTTCATAATTTCTTCAGGCACAACTTCTCTTTGTTCCTCTCTTTCATCTATCGGGTAACCAAAACCATAATTCTTGGAGGTGCTGAGACCATAACTCAGCTTTGGAACTGAGGTGATAAAGGCAGATTCTGAAGATTTGTTCATTTTGAGGGCCATTAACGATTCTCTGTGGTTGATATTCTAAACTTTGTCAAAACCTCCCTTCAAACCTCACATAAAATCCTAAAGAGATACTTACACCAATCAGAGAAATATTTGAGTGCATTCTTTCAGTCTTAAGGCTATCCTGGTGCTGTGACTTGTTCATCACAGATTTGTGTGGAGATGAAGTCGATGACATATTATTTTATTTTTCTACACTAACAGCCTCTAAAGGGGTTTTGGGGTTTTGGGGTTTTGGGGTTTTGGGG